GCAATTAAACAATGCTAACAGAACAATAGAAAATAAATAAGTAGGAGCACCCTTCTTTCAACCTCATATATAATTCTTGATTTACATGAAAACAATTATGGATTTCTCTGTCCTTTTACTAACCTGATGTTTCAACAGGTATTTTAGAACTGAAAATACCTTTCAGGACAAATCCAGAAATACCCAATTTTCAATAAATTCATTTATGTGGAGTCTTCCCAAAAGCTTACTCCAAAGTCTTTGCTGAGAGCACTATTTTGATTCTGAACAAAATAATGAAAAAAAGGACAAATGGCCCAAATAAATTAAACATTCCCTACTTAACACATTTTGAAAATTATCTCTGCATAATAAGTGCACTCATCTAACAAAAGCATATTTTTTTTGTTGTTTTCACTATGCCTGAACATATACTCTCATTTTACATTTGTAGTGAGTGGTAATTGTGTTAAAATGAGGAACATTTTGAAATAGGGCACAACAACTTATATTATCTCCCGGAATTGATTTCTGCTATTTTTTAAATTAGCTATTTTTTGTTAACCCTACTTTTCTATATATTACTAGCTCTCTGTATATCTTATAGAAAACCAAATATTCATAAATTATTTAGAATAATGAGCATGTGCATTCATACAGGCTACTTAAAAATACACACTGAATTATTCAATGCCCCAAATGTGTTCATACTATCTGTACTTCATGTTGTCTTTTCTGGTGCAATTTTATGACTTTATCTGAGGACAGACAGTAGGCACCTATTGGTAAATATTACCTAACTATGTTTTGGATATTTAAATTGTTAGAAATGCTGAAATGATGACTGTTACTTTTCACTTGCCCTTTTTTGCATCTGGTTTTTTGTAATATGAATTTCAAATTCTTGGGTATTTTTTATCAACAGTTCTCTGGGTTTTCTCTGTAGCCTATTGAAATTATTCTGCTGGTTTCATAATTGAGCCCTGGGCTCTTAGGATATAGCTAAATAAAACATAAACATACTTTCCTCTAAGCTTGTCCAAACCCTGCCATCCCATAATGCCTTGCTCATGATATTTTGTGTCCAGTGAACACAAACCAGGTAATCAGGATTCATCTCACAATTTGCTATGCTATAGCACTGGTATTTTTTTCCTCCTAAGATTGTTCAACTTTTATGGGATCTTGTTAGTTCATCCAGATTGTAAGTTCTTAGAGGTTGGAGGGAATGTTTAATTTATTTTTGTTTCCTATCAGCATTTTCCCTAGTGTCTCACACAGCTGTTATTAATGAATATATGCCAAGCCATTGATCAGTTGGCCAGTGTAGACATAAAGAATGAGTCTAGAGTCTCTGGTCTCCAGGCTGCTCTTAGAGTTCCTACCATGTTAGATGAGAAATAGGAGTAAAGTTTCTATCATTCAAAAAGATCAGAATAAACAGACCACAATCTGTCTGCAAGCTGGATAGGTATAGCTTAATTTTAGTATTCAGGGCCAAAATTTACCTGAACTGGTAGACAACTACTTAAAAACTAAGCCAGAAACATGCTTGCCCTCAAATATCAACTTTTTTTTCAGTATATAGGATATATATATATATATATATATATATATACACATACATATAAGTATATGTCTATATATATATATATATATATACATACATATAAGTATATGTCTATATATATATACATATACATGTATATACACACATATATATACATGCACATGTATGTATATACATACATATATATAAATTTTTAAAAATTTGCTCTAATCAGTTTTAAATGACATTGGAATGCTTATTGACACATTTTGCACAAATGGAGCATATTTCTTATTCTCCTGGCAATACATGGTGCAGAGTCACAACTTAAATATCTACTTTTGCTTTTAATAAAGTAATTTTAAATTTCATATAATTTTCACCTTTGGATTTGACTTAGTTTTAGTTGACGTTTGGGAAAAATGGAAAGCAAAGTGTACATGAAATAGGGGTCTAGAAAAGCTACGTAGATGGTGAAAAAACTATATTATAAAAATGAAGGTATCGTATTTTTCAGTGGTGTTATGTTCTGGCCAACAGCAGGCTCCAGGTTTATTTAATCTTTCCACCTATGACTATTGTACTTGCGAACAGTCAAAATGACAAGGTTACAGTGGTAAAGTGTGACAAGGTTATGGTGTAACTGGCGTAGGGTTCTTTCTCAGAAACAAGAGGTGCAGATGGAAGAGTCACATAAAGCTTTTGGCTGATTCCTAGTAAAGCAAATATATTTTTAAATTCTGTGCAAGCAGGGATCATGTATGAAGAGTATCTCAATTTTGCCTTGATGGAGGCAAGTAAATATGTTTCTACCTGCAATTCAAGTCTTTTGCCCCATGAAASAGTACATATTCCAGACTTAAGTGACATAAGCTGAATCTGTGTTATTCTACAAAGAATGCCAATAATTTCAAAACTAATCATCCAACAACCCAGACTGTTTTATACTTCAAACACTATTAGGMTAATTTTAATTAATTACAGTAAAACAAACATTGCTTTCCATTTGTCAAAGTACTACACTAATTCTGCAGGTGTAGGGAGCACAGAGTGCACAATTGCTAAGACTCATGTTCCATCTCAATCTGTAAATAGCTTTTTTTGCACCTCASAAGATTGTGCTGTATATGATTACACTCATCAAACTATGCAATATTGTCTGCATACTGGAATATATGCAAATACAAACAATCTTCAATATAAATGCCCAACACAGTTGCATATGAAATATGTCTCCTTTCATCGACTTTACTGACCTTAAAGTAAAATGGCATGAAAACACAGTATAATACTAGTGATGTATAATTATAATACTTGCTAATGTTTGTCATGATTCACAATTTAGAAGCATCATTAACTTCCTCTTTATTATTTGATCATCTCAAAAACCCGGGATTCTGCACACATCAAAGTTACTTTGCCTTTTTGCTGGCTTATAGAGAAACTGGGGAAACTAAATGATATTTCTTGGCCACTCAAAAAATACCAGTGTAGGAAAGATAACCAGTTTTCAGAGACTGCACAAGTGTTAAGCACATCTTCATAAACTATAAAATGATGGGATGGGCTTCTTAAAGTGTTCATAATGGGATAGGGGAGGAGAAATTACTTGAGATACAAATCCAAAACAAGAAATATTAGCTATGAATGCCTGCTGTGCTGACCTTATGGAAGTAGGGTAAAATAAACAAGTATTTCAAGTATATTGGTATTAAACATTTATGTCTAGAAATTAATTCCACAAAAAACAAGGAAATATACAACCCCCTTCTAAGCCCCCACCCCACACACCCCCAATTCTAATTCATATGAGAAAAAAGTCTATCACTCTATCTGGGAGATAATGCTGTAAGCTAGTACTAACCTGAAATTTCATGTCACTTTTATTACTTAAAAAAAATATAATAAAAACAAGTTAAAAGACAGGGCCAGTCAGCTACTCTTTCACTGATAAAAGGCATGAAGATCTTGGCCTCCAAAACCAACAGTCTGGCTTTTTCTGTGCTACAAAGAACAGTCCTAGAGCTCACTTCATCTCAAACGTATACAGTTGGGCCTATTCTTCCTTATTTTCCTCAATTTAATGTGCAATATTACTGTGAATTTTTCCCAAATAAAATATAACAAAAGAAGAATTTCTTGGAAGAAATACATCAGGGAGCTCCTACACAAGGGAGTGAGCAAAGAAAAATTAAGAAACAAGATGAGAAATATCAGTGTAATCAATCCATACATTAGTGTGCCTCTTTTATCAGACTCTCAAAAAACTTTAGAAATGCCTATCTGTCTTTCTCTCCATTATGTTAAGTGATTTGAAAAGAAGTCACACAATCCTCTGGAGCTGTGTGGTGCATTTGTGACTCACAGTTGTATCAGGGACAGACTAYATTCTTAGATTGGTTAAAGATCACCACATGAAGGAGCGCTGGCATCCCTTTGCCTCCAATTTACAGTACAGATAGGGACACTCTGACTTCATGGCATTCAGTACTTGGCTCTATTAATGTGAAGGAAAGAGAAGAAAAGGAGCAAACTAATCTGTGACATACATAAAATGGTCTCACACAGGAGATGAGAGTGATGTAAATTATATATCATGCCGACTTTCAGTAATGTCCAGATTTAGCTCTAAAGCACTAACCATTGTTGAATATCAATGAAATCTAAATTTGGTTTTTGTCTTGAAAAAATCACATTTTCATATTGAAAAGTTAAGTGTCTTACAAACTCAAGGTAATTTAATACAGTACCTGTCTCTTTTCAACTGTGTTGTTTATAATATACACCACCCCCCAAAATAAGAATCATTTATCACATGCACACATACAAACACACCAACACAGAGACAGATCTTAGACTGTAAACTGTAGGTAAAAAGGGCAAAAAGGAATACTAAGATATTTTGAAATGCCTGAAGAGATTATTGGATTGCGACCATGTGCCTATTCTATATAAAAGAGAATTGGAAGGGTATTTAAAATAGTCTTTATGCATAGAAAACRTATCGTCTTATTTTATAATTATAAACAATAAAATAATATTCAAATAGACCAATATGAAGAAGACTTGTTCAAAACTCAGTCCCTAATTTAAATAGTTTCCACTGTACCTTTTCATATCCACCCTACAACTAGGACATGCTTGTCACAGCCACACACAGTTTGTTTTGAAAGACGTTCAGGATATTTGAGTAAAAACACTGGCTATGATTTGTGGGTAACAACGGGTGCCTAAAAAACACTGCTGCTGAACAATGGCCCTGGGTAGTCAGGTGACATTTTGGAATTGGTAAAATATTGGATTGTTCTGATCCTGGTTCACTTCTGCTGCTATGGAACTGAACCAGGATCAGAACAGATCCCTACATTTAAATACTTAGTTTTTACTTACTGTGAAAAAGAATCATAACATGAGAACATGTGTCATGAATTCAGGGACATTTGATGGAAAATAGTAGAAAATGAGCTTTTACCTCACAGGGCTGTTGGAAGAATCKGGGTCATGAGCGGCTACCGTGCCAATGATATTGCCAACTTGGGTGGCTTCTGAGACCTCCATGGGGTACAAGGGYGAAGAAAACACGGGAGGCTCATCCACGTCTTCTACAATTATCTTCACGGTGGTTGTGTCACTGAATGGCCCCAAGCTTAGAAACCGGGGGTCGGCATCTTTATTTGCAGCTTCTATTCGTAGTGTGTAACTTGTTTTGGCTTCAAAATCCAGTTCCTGTAAAGAAAGGTATTAGAGAAATTAAATTACCAATTAGAGAGTCAGCAAAGCAGAGCCTTTTCATTTATGAATGTCAATAAGCATCGAAAGGACTCTGCCATGAATATGCACCATCAGCATTCACAAATAATAAGTCATAATGCCAATCAGTCCTTGTGCTCTCCTGGCTCCCAGACCATGGTAAGTGCTTTTGAGCTAACTTAATCACTCTGCTGCCGTGCGTCTCAGGGACAGACTCAGGACTTCAGAATGTTATCTGTAAGACAGCCCACCAGATTCTAAACTATTTTCCAATAGGACATCAATACAAACATGTTCCTCGACCATGTAATTCATCGGCACAACTCAAGGTATGTGTTAAAAAGGAAGAAAAACAGCTTTCCTTTCAATTTCTCATTGTTCATAAGGTCAGTGACTCAGGGTGACTACATGAGGATCCTGAGCTCGGCTGGACCAAGTATGCAGCCTCAGCAGCAGGTGGGATTTAGTGAGGCTGACCAGGTTGCAAACACTGCTGATCTGATTCTTCTCCAGGAAGCACCTGTCATGTCTACCTTCATTATTTCTCTATTAACATACACTCTCGTTTTATTTATTTTTTTTAGATGATTGACAGTTACATTCCAGAATCTTCACTCTGTATTTAAATTTATAAGAGGATTAGCATGCTAAAATGTTTCTTAAAGATGGTGAACGGGACAAAACATTAGGAGCTTAAAAGGACGGCAAGGACTAGTAAGTGAAGCATCATCTGCGACTRAAATAATAATTCTATATATAATATGTGACAATAACCTTGTCTTTCTCCAATGGACCCAGAAAACAGCAGCAWTTTATGACATTCTCAATCTCACCACTGAAAGACTGTTYCAAAATATATTTGATGAGGTAAAACAGAAATAATTAATAATAATAARGAAATTGAAAGAAATATGGTTAAATGATATTTAATTATAGTCACTGGACAGAAATCATTGAAAAAAATGAGCCAATGTGCAATGCTGAGATTCGTAATCCAAATTTACCCACCATGTGTGGGCACATAGGTGGGCATGCATATTCCAACTTAGCCCTGAAACATATGATCTCAAGCAAAATATATTTTAAAATGTACCTAAAGAAATAAAAATGGGATATATAAATTATATTATGTATATAAGAGATACTATAGTATATAAACTATATACTTCTTTTATGTATAGTGATGCATTTATATATCGATACAAATTATACATGGGCATACAAATGATATCACAAATATTATATAAAGAGATTCCATGGCTCATGTCTCATTAATATAAAGGGAAAACACATAAATCAATACACAAAAAGTTTACAATATACAGGCCAGAGAACACTTGCTGAAATGCGTACTTATCTCTCTTTCACTAGATTGTCAACCTGGCTGGTTTTGTTCATCCCTATTACCACAAGCACCTGTTATGCTTTGGTGAACAGAGGAGGCTCAATAAATTCTTGTTGAATTGCCTGGGGGTCGGGGGGTGAGAACAGAATGCAGCATTCAGCCCACAAAAGCCTTAAAATTGAACTATACCTTTTGCCCAGAGAACCTAATAGTCAAGTGGGAAATGGGAGATGAAACAAAATCAAATGTATTTTAATTCTTGACCCCCCCCCAAAAAAAATTTATAGAATTTCTCCAGAATGAAAACAAAGACAAAAATAAAAATGTTTAAAGTCTCATCTGAGGTTTCATATAGAAATGCTAGGGCACATGGTAAACAGGGTCATAAAGCAAATGCCATGACCTTCATGAAACACCCTTTGTTTGTTGTCTGAACCTGGTTCTATCCAGAGGACTTTTATTCCTAACATGCCTAGCCCCTTCCAAGAGGGTTTTATTCCAGAACTAGAATGAGTCACAAGTATGCATTATAACGTTCATCAGATAATTCTGAGGCAAATCTTCTTTTGATAAACTGAACCCGGTCAGTGAAATTTTCTGGGGCCTATACATAAATTCAACATTTATTTTGGAAACTACTGTGGAGAAAGAAAAGCACTCCTAGAACTAGGGATTGAACCCAGGGCCTTGTGCTACTATTGAGCTATATCCACAGCGCTAAAGTAAAGCATTCTTACTTGGAAGGATTTACTGAGAAATCTAAAAATTCTTGTTGGTAGTTTGTATAACAACCTCAGTTTGTTCTTTTATTATTCCTTATAAAATGACTAATTGAAGAAAATTTTCATATTCAAACATTATGTGTATATATATATAATAAGAAGTGTCTAAAAAATCCCATTTGTCATCTCTTTTAAATCAATATGAAATGCAGAACAACCTTGAAGACATTCTTTCAGGTTTTCAGCAGTTTGAAAAAGGACAACAAGTCTTTCTATACTTAAGCAAAAGTTTGTCTCATTTATGAAAGAATAATTTAAAATTTACTACAGAAGAGAATGCAATTATTTTATAGCAACTAATTTTTTTTAAACCTGTCTGAAAGGCAGCAATATGAGGCATAGACATCTGGATGCCACAAGCTCATGTAGAAACACAGTGTTYTGCACAATGATTGGTTGCCTAAAAGCTATTATGAAAATAGAGCAATAAAAGAATTCATATGAAAGGCTATGAATCAAGATTGCAGACAAAAGGAATTGCTACATAAAAGTATTTTCAAAGCATATCAGAATAAAACAGAGATGGAGTTTTCAGAAAGGGGAGTACTGTGATGGATAGGATTGTTAAACAAATTGAAGAAAATATTTTTAGTAATAAAATTTTAATTTGTGTATCTTTATCATTATTGATTTCCATGTGAGTAATACATTCCACAACTATCAGATTTAATTAGCAGGCTTATGAAAAAACAACATCAACATCAAGAAGAAAAGACACTTGAGGAGAAAGAGGAAGGGGAAAGAAAGGTGCGGTCTCAACAGATCTCTTTATTGCTTCAAACTACATGGAGTTGGAGACTACATATGTATTTGGAAACTCAACCAAAGTTCATTGCTTTGCAGTCCACAATAGCAAACAATAACTAGGATTAATAAGCCCTGGAAATCAAACACGAGTCCCAAAGGTATAGATAGTGAAGCCACACAGAGTTACTGTGGGACCTGTGGGTGTCCCTTTCTCATCTGTCAGGAAATCTATGTCAGAGACATGAAGATAAGAAGCAGTATGTCCGCCATATTGTTAACCCAAACTAAAAAATAGCATTCTCTGAACTTGTAGTCACCAAAGATGATGAAATTTAGTATTAAAATAAGATTATATCTAAGGCTAGGGTCTGCAACATTTTCTGTACAGGGCTGGATTATACACATTGGGCCCTGCAGGCCATATGCTATCAGTCACATGCAAAGGAATGAGCTCAGTGGTTGACAGTGATACTTCATGTATAAACCCTGACACCTAAATTCTCCATGACTTTCACATAGTCCCAAGACATTCATTCTTAGATTAATTTTTTTTTCAGTTATTTAAAAATAGAAAACCATCCTTAGCTAATGGTTCAAACAGAAGTGGGCAGGCATAGTTCTGCCAACCCCTGATTGAAGGAGACCACCTGAGTGGGGCTGACATTCAAGACCTCCTTGATTGGCCACCTCTTCCTTCTATGCTTTATGATATAACTGGAATGATCTATTCACTATAAAAAGTACATGTTGTCTGTTTCTGCACATTACACCCGTTGTTCCCTCTTTCTCATATAACTTTCCCATTCCTCTTAGTGGACTCTTTTAGAGAATATCACCTTCTTTATGAATATGTCCATCATGTACTTATCTCAGAAATAGCAGAACACTGTAATAAGAGCTATGAACGAGTCACTTTGCACAACTGTTTAACATGAATTTTAGAAATGCAAATTAGTACTTTGGGATTGTTTAATATTTATGTCTCTCCCAAATTCTTATGCTGAAACATTAGCCCCTAAGGGGATGGTAGAGATGTGATTAGGTTTTGAGGATGGAGAGCTCACAAAAGGTAACATTGTCCTAATACGTGAGACCACAGAGAGTTCTGACTCTTTCTGCCATGAAAGGATGTGGTTAAGAAGGTGATGGCCATCTAGAATACAAGTAACAATAAATGTTAGCAAGGATGGGGGGAAAAAGGAAGACTTACACATTGCTGGTGGGACCATGAATTGATGCAACCATTCTGGAAAGCAGTGTGGAGATTCCTCAGAAAACTTGGAATAGAATCACCATTTGACCCAGTTATTCCATTGCTTGGCTTATACCCAAATGACTTAAAATCTGTATAGTATAGTGACTCAGTATAATCAATGTTTATAGCAGCTCAATTCACAATAGCTAAACTATGGAATCAGCATAGGTGCTCTTCAACAGATGAATGGAAATGTGATGCATATTCACAATGGGATATTACTCAGCCATAAAGAATAATGAAATTATGGCATTTGCCTGTCAATGGATGGAACTGGAGAATACCATGCTAAGTGAAATAAGTCAATCCCCCAAAACCAAAGGCCAAATATTCTCTCTGATATGTGAATGCTAACTCACAATAAGGGAATGAGGCTAGGGAAGAATAGCAGTACTTTGGATAAGAYAAAGAGGAATGAAGGGTAGGGAGGGGAAATGGAAATAGGAAAGATACTAGAATGAATCAGACATTAATTTCTTGTATGCATATATGAACACACAATCCATGTAATTCCACATCTTGTATAACTACAAGAATGTGGAGTTATACTCCATATATGTATAGTATGCCAAAGTACTTTCTACTGTCATGTATAACTAATAAGAACAAATTAAAAAATTAAAATTAAAAAATAAAGRAGATAGCCATCTACGATTCAGGAAGATCTCACAAGACCCTGAATCTAACTTGATTTTGGACTTCCCAGCTTTCAGAGCTGTGAGAATCAGTTCTATTCTTTAAATGTCTAGTCTATGGTGTTTTTGTTATAGCAGCTTGAATGGACTAATAGGTTGATTTCAATTGATATGAAAATAAGACAGCCGACAGTTCTAGAGAAACCTCAAGA